TTCGGACGTAGCTCTGCCGCTGCTCTAGGTGACTCAGCACCGCATGGAGGGCTGTGGCGATGGTGTCTTCTGTGGATCTGTTTGCACGGTATGCAAACTGGTGGGGGTCGAATTCTGGGGGGAGGTGATCCTTAAAATAATTTCTGAACAGGTTTTTGACTTTGCAACAACCCGACTAGTCAGTGATATCGCATTCATATATGATGCTTAGCATTCAAACTGAGATACAATCTGACCACAATTAGTTTAGAGATCAAGAGGAAGGAGAAGCTTTGTAAGTGTTTTATTTTGGTTTGACTTGAAAGCACACTATGTTTGTCAATGCTATTTCAGAATAGTAATATCAATGATCTGTGTGCTGTAAGCTGGCTATCAAAGGTCATATGTAATTGTAACACAGGGCAGGCTAGCGTCTACTTAATACACATTTTAAGTAATTTAGTAAACAGTGTTCTTTATCATTTAAATTTGTGTAAATTATGGCACAAGAGGAAAGATAAAGCCAAAATGTTAAAGTGTTTTTGTATAAATTTTAGTTTGTTTCATCAGGGTGGTCCAGTGAAAACCCCAGCTCTCTGGAATCCCTGGTATGCAGCAGGCTGGTCTGCTTTTCTCCACTTGAGTTCAGCTCAAGGCTAGCATTAAAAGGTTCAGGAGTCCTTTCTGCTGGGCTCACATGGCCACCTGGCCATGACATCCCAATGATCAGCATCACCCCTCTACAGTCTGACCCTTTAGATGTTAATTTAGTTAGTAAATCAAGATTATTATTATGTTAAGGTTCACAGATTTAAGAGAGCATTATGTGAGAAACACTATTTACATCAAATCAAATGAGAAGGGGGAAAAGAGTTTTCAATATAGGCTGAACTAATGAAGAAGAGGTTTACATGTCTGAAAAGACTCTGATTCTGTTGTTCCCCTGTGTCAGTTCTACTACATTTATTCCTATCAAACATGTCTGCAGCTCACAGGAGGATAAAAAGAAGTTGCACATTAGAGGTTTTACAACTATTAAGGAGTGACATGTGGCTCAAACTACATTCCTAAGCTAAGTGGGACATACGCACGTTGTGGTTTGAACTACGGGGGAACTTGGATTTGTCACTGAGCCAACAATTTTGTCCATTTTCTCCGACACTGTCAGCAGCTGCATTACTTATCACAGATAGAAATACCCAACCATTCCCAACTGCACGAGTCATAAGTGAGTGCAAAAGATTGCATTCACTGGCTTATCTTCCCATAAGTCAACTCACAGATATGATGCACATTTCAAACACACACAGGCTAGCAAACTCAAACTCATCCAATGCACCATGGTAGTTTCTCTCATGTCCGTTTTTTCTGGTGCAACATGTGCAATTTTTAAGGTGGAGTATTATTACTGGGCAAAGTGTGCAATGTCTCTAGAATGTATAGTGCACTATTCAATACTTTATTGTTGATATAGTTTTTTATTCTATTCTATTTTTTGGGGGGGAGGGGGGTATCTATCACAGCTTTTACCTTTTTATTGTCTGTTATCTGTCATCACACGGTGAATTTCCCACCCGTGGCAAAAATTAAGTTTTATCTTATTTGACACATTTTAAAGAAATAATACCCCAGGTGCATCTCCAATCGTTCCCAGTGAGACTTGGACTCCGCCAAGGCTTCCCTTTGTCACTGATTCTGTTCATAACTTTTATGGACAGGATTTCTAGGTGCAGCCAAGGTGTTGAGGGGATCCGTTTTGGTGGCCTGAGGATCAGGTCTCTGCTTTTTGCAGATGATGTGGTCCTGTTGGTTTCATCAGAACGTGATCTTCGGCTTTTGCTGGAGCGGTTCACAGCCGAGTGTGAAGCAGCTGGGATGAGAACCAGCTCCTCTAAATCCGAGGCCACGGTCTTGAGTCGGAAAAGGATGGAATGCCTTCTCCAGGTCAGGAATGAGGTCCTTGAATAAAACTCTATAAATCCACTTATTGAAGAATTTAAACAGGACTCAACACAAAAAATGTGCTAAACAAATATTTTACAACATTTTCAGCAATTTGGACTAAATATATCTCCATTTGATTCATATCTCTCTTGAAGTCAATGAAATCTTTACTTGCTTTACATTCTTGAGGACAGAAAAACAGACACCGGCTGCAAATGGACTGACATGTTTTCAAACATCCTCCTCCAAGTCTCAGGCCGTGGTTCTCGACCAGAAATGGGTGGAATGCTTGCATGTTGGTGTGTTGTTTGTGAGTGATGATCTGGGTTTGGTCTACAGTTATTAGGTTTTTCTGGTACGTCTCTCATGGTTAAAGGGACTTTACGGAGTTTTGAATTTTTATGCTCGCGATTGCCCCCTCAGGCCAAAAGTGCAACGGCAGCTTCAATAGGAGGCTCGTGCACGAGGCGCGCATGCTGTACGTGCACACTCCTTAACGAAAATAACAGCTGAGACAGTCCCATGTGTGTGTGTGTGTGTGTGTGTGTGTGTGTGTGTGTGGCCCGGAGGACAGAGGACAGGAGAACATGCAGCTAATTAATTAAATAATTTGGTTCTGTACCTTTCTCTTCAGCACAACCGACAAAGGTTTATGATGGGTCAGTCCCCATGCTCAGATAATTCCATTCCCTTGCTTGAAAAATTGTTCCAAAATGAAAGTCGAACCCACATCTTTTTTATCTGTGAATTCAATGCCGCTCGGCGAGTCTCAAATAAAAATTTGGGCATCTTACTGTAAAAAAATATATCATTAATGTAAAAAAGAAACTCTAAAACAACTATGTTCACATCCAGAATCAAACTGGGGTCTTCTGCACGAAAGCCCGGAGTCTTACTAGGCGAGCTAAAGCGCCTGTGGCGTCTTCTGAACCTGTGACAATTATAACCTTGATGACAGCTGAACCAATGTTCAAAGAACGGTTCGGAGGGCTATGCCTGAGCGTGAACGTGCATGAAGCTGCCTGCTCGACCCGAGCAGCTCTCTTTTTCTGTGATTTACAGAAAAATAGGCAATCACAGTAAAAATGCCAGGGCTCATTCTACAGGACCAGGGCATTGCAGGAGAATGTATGAAGAAGAAATTTATTATTTCTATACATGTTTTGGCTGTCAAACTTCCATAAAGCCCCTTTAAGAAAGGGACTAGCCAAAACATGAGACTAAATCTAAGCTCAAATCTTCATATGGTGATTACATTTGGATCAATGAGACCCTAGATGTAAACAAGTTCCTTCCTACCAATACTTTGTATGGCTGGTTGCTCCATGTTCTCCAGAGGAATGCAAAAACATAATTTAGGTGGATTTGGTTTCTTTACTTCTCTGGGAGCAACACACCTGTGGACTCCACAACACCAAGCTGCCTATATGAACATGCAGCTAATGTTTCCAGCTACCCTGGAGCTGCTGAGGTGCAGTGTGTCTTGGTGAAACATGACCTGTGGCCCTTAGTAAAGAATAAGACAGAGATCTGATTAAGCTGGACAGTCTCTCGTCTGATCTGGGACAGCTTGGATTTCTAACCCTCACCCGTTGTGCATGGCAGCCTCACAGATCTCTAGGTACAATGGAGGTCTTTGAGGAGCTGAGATAATCGAAGAATCCCCCCCCCCCCCCCTTAATTAGAGATGGGGAATCTGCTGACTCATGGAAGAAACTGATGACAGATGGGCTAGGATATCCTTTATGTCAAGGCTGAGAGCAGAGCAGCTTTCTTTAGAACAAAATGTTTCAATAGAACTTAGAAATGAATCTAAACCTGCTGATGGACATTCAAATATTTAGACAAAACAAATGTTAAACAAATGCCAGTTCTATAGGCTCCACCACAGACTGAATGTTCACTTATGGACATGAAGTTCAAAGGCAAAGACAGATATTATATGGTTCAACAACAGAGTTAATGATTTTCCCAAAGAGTAGGCTCTTCCAGCTTTATCAAACTTTGTGCAGTGCTATAAAGAAAGTACCTGAACCTGCATGTGTGTGGGAAGAGATACCTGAGCATCTGCCTTCAAATTTTACTTATTTTACCTCTCACACTGAAGAATAAAAACATGTAAATCCGACCGGGACTGAGATGCACAACACTGGAATAAAAATAAGAAAAAGGCTAAGCTCAAGTTTGATTCAGGCTCTGTTCCTCTCCCTGTTGGCCCTTTGGCTGTCTTACAGATGCAGCGGGCTGTAAGCAATGGGCCAAGCTTGCCTAATACACATGCAGCATTTGCACAAATAACAACTGCTGCCCATCAGCCCAAGTCTCGGGCAGCAGATGTCTTCAAATTATGTAAAGGCACCATTCATTTACAGATAAGTGCAGGACTTGGTGGAAATTTTAAGCCAAAGTTCAAAATGAGAATGCAAATAGGCAGAAGAGTTGTGCAGAGGTTGACATTTTGACTAGAGATGAAACTGACGGAAGCAAAGCCAATTCTTCTTGGATGGGATGTAGGCGGGATTAACAACAATGAAAAGGTTAATTAGAGTCTGAAGACCCAACACTGTCAGTCAGGGTTTAGGGTATGTTTGTGGTGACTCTCAGCTCTAAATCTATGAAGAGTCTTCTAGCTTTTTTTGAGTTTTGCTAATGTGGCTTTGCTGATATATCTATAGTGGTGTTAGTATTACTTTGTGACACGGCAAAAACTCTGTTTTTGATTATTCAGAACAAAAAATATGGGTTTTGCCATTAAAATAACCCGAGTGTACAGCACAAAACAAAGACTTGGGCATCAGAAGGTTCCTGGAAGACATTGTCAGCTTTAAATGACAAGTCACGGAGGTAAAGTGTCAGTTTACAAGGATTGTTTGGAGTAAGTGGCCTAATCTGTGTGACCCTGTGACTCTGACCTGGGGAGGCTTTGGACAAATGAGGACAAGATGCCTGTCAGGGCAGCTTCATGTCAAAGACTGCTCGTTCCAGGCTGCTGCTGAGGAAGGATGAAGGATGAGCAGCACTTCTCACTCCTATATCCCAAATATCGTGCGGTGGTTGCGTCTCCCATCATCACTTACCTTGACGGACAGTTTTTAACTTGACGGGACCTTTGCAGCAGTTGATCACAGTGAAGATGTCATAAAGTGGTAATCCAGACACAGACAGCCCCTCCACTTCCAGCAGCAGCTCTCCCTCGCACACTTTCCCGTCCTGAAAAACCACAGCATCCTCCCTTATTTGGCCGACGTACGCAAACTCTCCGTTCTCCGCGCCGCCGCGCAGCTCCAAGTTCAGCTCCCCACCGGCGTCCCGAACCACCGCGCACTCGCTCACCTTGGCGATCCAGTGGTTCTTCTTCTGGATGACTTTTGACATGATGGAGATGATCCAAAGCAAACTCTTCTGTTCCGATGAGTGGTGTGAGAATCATAGAACTGGCACTGTCCCGCGCGGAAAACTTTCAGGCCGTCCGAGTCTAAACATGTTCACGGTTCCCTGGAGACACTGCATGCCTCGCGTCAATCATGTTCGCATCCCATATGGATCACAATCCGGACTTTGCCCGCTTCTGTTGTTGTTTCCGCATCCTTACTAGCGCGCGCTCTCCTCGTAATGGGATCTAATCCACTCCCCGGAGACTCATTTCTGGATTAAACTCGCATAGTTCCGCCTATTTTATTTAAATAAACTGTCTTTCAAACTTTCAGCTCTACCTCCAGGCTTCTCCCTCTCAGCCGGCGGCGCCTTTAAACAGGTAACACAGCAAGTTCATTCTGCTCCTCTACTGGGGATGAAGCAAAGGTGGAAGGAGGCGCATGCGTCACGCTGATACTCCACGAGGAAAAGTGGTCCAACCCCAAACCTGCCGGGTTCTAAAGCCCCCCCCCCCCCCCCCCCCCCCCGCACCACACACACACACAGCCAGAAACTGTTTGGAACAGATTACGGATATCTCTCTGCGTCTAATCTCCAGATACCTTCACTAGCCTTCTGTCCTTATTCATAAAATATGGAAACGCGCAGCAGGGAGCTCTCCTCTGCGCGCGCACCGAGCCGCCGGGAGGCCGTGTTGGTGCAAACCCCAGCAGCATCATTCGGCTGCGCCCAGATCAATCACTGGGTCCTCAACTCTTTATCGGTTTTGCTCTGGAAATATAATAATAATAAAACTTTCTTTCAAAATAGAAATTCTGGATTAAATTACTACAGAAAAAAAATGCTTTCAGACTCAAACTAAATGTCTGAGCTGCGTGTTGTTTTGGATGGTGATGAAAACCAAATTTCTCTCCTGATTGTAACATTTTTGTCTGCAGGCTCCCAAAAGTGCAATTGTTGCAATCAGTGTCATCAACATGATGGACATGGGATGCAGTTTGTGAATTAACTCAAATTGGAAAGTTTCTTGTTATTTGCATTCCCTTTTATCCAGCTGTTAAACCTTTTATCACTGCAGAGCCCAAAAGTTCACGTTTACAATTACAACGAGGACTGCGCATTCACGGAATGGGCCAGTTATAAAAAAACAACTTCTCAGCTCACTCTTTCTTCCTCCTGTGGCGTCATCTTTTACTTTACTTGAGGATTTTATCTCACATCATCTGTTCTCACTGTTGATGTCTTGTGGATTGAGATTTATGAGGTTTATCCTGCTTTCTGTTGTAGTTCTCCCCGCCCAGGATTCTCCGATGATGACCTCCAACGGAGGCCTCAACTTTCCATCCATCCATCCATCCATCCATCCATCCATCCATCCATCCATCCATCCATCCATCCATCCATCCATCCATCCATCCATCCATCCATCCATCCATCCATCCATCCATCCATCCATCCATCCATCCATCCATCCATCCATCCATCCATCCATCCATCCATCCATCCATCCATCCTATTCTGCTTATCCGGTGTCAGGTCACGAGGGCAGCACCCTAAGGGAGGCCTAGACTTCACCCTCTCCAGCCACTTGGGCCAGCTCCTCCAGGGCAATCCTTAGGCAGTCCCTAGCCAGCTGAGAGACATAGTCCCTCCAGCATGGCCTGGGTCTTCTTTTAGGTCTCCTCCAAGTTGGGCATGCCCGGAAAACCTCACCAGGGAGGCGTCCAGGTATTCTAACTGCTCAAGCCAACTCAACTGGCACCTCTCGATGTGGAGGAGCAGCGGATCTACTCTGAGCCCCTCCCAGATGACTGAACTTCTCACCCTCTCTGTAAGGGAGATCCCAGACACCCTGCAGAGAAAACTCATTTTGGTCGCTTGTATCCGTGATCTCGTTCTTTCGGTCACGACCCAAAGCTTGTGAATCGAGAGCTTTATCTTCCGGCTCAGCTCTCTCTTCACCACAACAGATCACATCACTGCAGCACCAATCCGCCCATCGATCTTGCACTCCGTCTTTCTCTCTCTTGCGAACAAAACCCTGAGATACTTAAACTTCTCCACTTGAGGCAGGACCTCATCCCTGACATGGAGAAGGCATTCTACCCTTTTCCAACTCAAGACAGCGGTATCAGATTTGAAGGAGCTGATTCTCATCCCAGCTGCTTCACACTCGGCTGCAAACTGCTCCAGCGAAAGCTGGAGATCACATTCTGATGAAGCCAAAAGGACCACATCATCTGCAAAAAGTAGATAAAATCCTTAGGCCACCAAAACTAATCCCCTCAACACTTTGGCTGCACCTAGAACTCCTGTCCATCAAAGTCATGAACAGAATCGGTGACAAAAGGCAGCCTTGGCGGGGTCCAACTCTCACCAGAAACAAGCTCAACTTCACTTTCCACAACTTCTTTAAGTCTCTTTTCCATACTTTGGAGTTTCACATACATCTACTTCTTACTGTTGTTTGGAATCACATCTATCACCACATTTACTGTAGTTTTCTGACAATGCCTTTTGAGAGCCTGGATCTGGAGGTCCTACCCTGTCCTAGTCTTCACATCCCTTGGTTGGGGCCTTCCAATTTTATTGGCCTCCAGCCCATATCAGCACAGATGTTCACGTTCATCCTACATCTTACTTTTTATTTTACTGCCCCACATCAGTGGCATTTTTACCTGCATTGAAGGACAAAGGTTTAACTCTAACCCTAAACCCAAGTAACCTCCAGCTAAAGTAGAGTAGAACAAACACATCTACAGTCGTGTCAGGGACTTGCATAAACCAGCCAGGAGAGCACGGATGATTTTCTTGACATCTTAATTTATTACTTTTTTTCTTTTCTCCAAAGAGGGTTCCAACCAGCACTTGACATTACAAGACAATGGACGTAGTAACAAAGTAAACCAAACTCAGGACCTGACTACAGACATGTACAAAAAAAAAACTCCTACAGACACAACAGGATCAACTTAAATAGTGGCTGATCAGACCACTGCCAACACAATAGGGTGGGGAGACATCAGTAAACAAAGAACATAAACAAACTACCCCTAACAAATTCATACTAATCAGTCAATTCTTTTTGAGTTACTTCAAATGAAAACATATTACTATCAAAACCCAACTACTATTTACAAAAGAGAATAACTAAATACATAAACACAGGAATCTTCTCCCTTGAGAGTTGGTATGACCCAATGGTGCTGATTAGGCCAAGTGATCTGCTACAGCTGCTCCAACTCCAAGGCCACTGGCAACTCAAAGAAAACATATTAATCATACAAACCTCTACAGACTAAAACTGATAAGTAACTGAATGTGTGCACTTCATACACCCAAACAGTCAATCCATAGAAACAGACACCTTTATTCAAAATAAAAGAAACATTAACAGTCATTTACTTGAAGTGTGACAGCAGGGCAGCACACAAGGTTTGATTTTGATAAGGAATGGAGAACTGGAACAAGACGGTTTTGGTTGAGATGTTTGGAAATTAAACGAAAAGTGTAAGTTATGATCCCAGCTAGGAAATATATCCTTTTGGATGCTTTTCCTGTTTAACTTTGGGGCATCAAGCCTTTCTGCTCGTCTCAGAATCAAAACAAAATAGTTTGTTTCCATCAGAGGATGATGCCACTTTTGGAGATTGTAGAATGGAATTTATGGAAGGATATCAGGAGTATTATTTTCAAGTGCTTAGCAGAGGATCACCAGCATGTCATCTCCACGGAAACAAGGTTCCTCTGAAGCAGAATAGAACTGATCAAAGTGATCAGAATGATCATGAAGAGGGTGACTCATGGTCTGTTCCTTTATAAAAAGATACATGATCCTCTCACAAGATTATTGTCTCATCGTCACAAGTTTTACGAACTGGTTCTCAGCTGGTTTGCTGTGAGGACTCCACAACTAACTCTGTTTCACTCATTATATTTGAACATTAAATATTCTCCAAACATCTAGTTTGTAACTTTGACACCATAAAGGCTTGAGGGATTTATGTTTATTTATTTTTTTAAGTTCATGCTTTAAAATGTCAGCGTGTTTTCTCTTCATATAACAAATCTCATTTCAGACAAAGCATTTTTTGTCATTGACAATTTAGGCTCACAATTAAATTATCCACCGCTATAAAAATAGCTGGGGCTCCTGCAGAATGGAGATCAGGTGAGAAACACATGGCTCTGCAAAGTAAAACAGGCTCTCTGTGTTTCCAGCATGTTCAGATAAAGTACATCCCACCACTGTGAGCGCAGTGGCCTGGATAGAAGAGAAAAAAGAAAGCTTTCCATCCTATTTCATCTTCGCTAGGGCAGAAAGCTTTCATTGTGACATCACTGTCTCCTACTTGTCACATGAAGCGTGTTTCTCTCAAACAGCCAAAGTACTGCATCGTTCTTAACATTTATGTGTCCTTATGATGCGATACATGAAAAGTAACACTGCAAACTGGGTTTGTCATTTTCCTTTCTTGACATTTTCCTGATGTGAAAAGAAAAGACTGCAGGCCAGTTAACATCATGCAAACCAGGATGCTGATTGGCTCTCACTGATGGTACACACAAACATTTGTGTGTGTGTGTGTGTGTGTGTGTGTGTGTGTGTGTGTGTGTGTGTGTGTGTGTGTGTGTGTGTGTGTGTGTGTGTGTGTGTGTGTGTGTGTGTGACAGAATATCATCTTCACTCCCATCAGAACTAATCGTTTCTCCGGATTTGCTGGTTCTGAACATATTTCACACATACACCATCCTCAGTCTTACTTCACCTTAGTTGCACCATACACCTAGTGTTTAAAGTTGGTCTTGTTTAATTTGTTTAGTAATAAATCTTTAAACTTTTAAACCTGACTCACTGTCTTTTCTTGAAGTTGATACGAAGTGTTGCTCAATCCCTGCAATAAAGAGATCCGATCTTCTGGTTAAATTTACTCAAAGATCCATTAAGGTAATTATTCATTTTCATGATACTTCACATTTTATGGTTTCTAATTAAATGTAAGAACATCTTCTCTACACAGTTCCCAGCTTTAGTCCGTGAGCCAGACACCTTGTCTACTTTTAAGACTAGGCTTAAAACATTTTTATTTGATAGAGCCTAAGGTTAAAATCTGATGTTAGCCCAGATCTGGACAAGTGGGGGAGTAGAGAGAGGTAGAGTGTACAGTGGAGTGTACAGTCGGTAAAGACAGCTCTCCCTTGCCCTGCCTCCAACATGCCTCCATCTAAAAGGCTAAGTTATCCAGAGTAATCTCTGTAGTTATGCTGCTATGGGCTTAGACTGCTGAATGACATACTGACAACTTTCCACACTCTACTACTTTCTTCTGCAGTTTCTCTCTTTATTGTATTATTTTCTGCCATTTCAGCTGTTAACTTTAGTTTCTCTCTAAGTGTTTTTCTCCCCAGAAGAAGCTACAATGGTGTTCTGCT